AGAGACATTTAATTTTATTTCAATACAGTTAACAAAAAGTAATAAATATCCATAGCAGTTTTGTATGCTTCTTCTAAACTTTCTTTGTTTACATATTGAGCAGGCACCTTCACCTGAAACATATACACAAACAAAACCCACAACCTTGTTAACTTACTCAAGAGACAGGAAATAGCAAGTAACTGAGCTAATGAGCTTGTGTAAATGAATGACAGAACAAAGAATAGCAGATACTAAAAAGACAAATATTTCTAAGAGCTGCAAAAGTCAGGAAGTTTTGGAGAACCCTGTTTGCCCACATCCTGAAATGATAGTACATACATACTAAGTTTTCAGTGGTATGATCAATGTGAAAACAAATTTGAGAAACAAAAAGCAATGGAAAATGCTCAAAGAACTATTAGCAATTAAATTTAGACAAAGAAGGAACAGTAAAAATCATTAAAACTGTTGGCACCATAAATTCATATGTAAGCTCAAATGACCTCTGTCTTTTTACATCAATGTTTGAAGAACTGATCAAATTTCCAGATTAAATCTGTTGTGAAATGACCACATCTATAGCAGTATTCTATTGCCTATATTTTATAACAAGTATTTAGTATGTAATTATTTAAACTTTGAATTCTTTAAACAATAATTTATGTTGTTTATTTAATAAATTTGTTATTCAATTTTTCTGTGGCAGTTTTTCTTTTATCTTTTTTGAGTCTTAAGTTTAAATTTTTCTCACTAATTTAATTACTGAAATTCATGTTTCATTTTTTTTTGTGCTTTAAGGGATTTTTTTGTGCTTTAAATGTAAAAAATCTTTGTTCTCCAGAAATTTGCTAATTTTTTAAATGGTTCATCACTTTTTCTTTAAAATAATCTAATTACAATGCACTAAACAAACTGTGGGCTGGTTTGACTGAAATACTCAGCCATATTACTATATGTAGACATAAAATAAAGGTCAAGTCTCACAAACATGACTTATTTATATTTTATGGATTATCAACCTTTCACAGATTATTTGAAAGTAAAAAATGTTTAGACTAAGAATTTTTTGGAGATAATAATGATTTACTGTTAGAAGTCCTACTAATTAACTCATATCTGGTGGGAGAAGAGGTAGATTCATACCTTACTCAAATATATTTGCACATAGGTGAATATAACTTGACTGGAATTGGAACTTGGCTCTCCAATTTCCAATTCCGAGCTTTAACATATACGACATTGTTTCTTGAGCAAAGATGGACAAAGACTAAAATTTCAGTTTTATATAATACATACAATTATTTTAAGAAATATTTTATGTTTATATGTTCTTTTTATAGATACAAATATTTAAGTAAATGCTCTGTTTATAATAAACAGTATTAACAACATTTATCAGCCTGAATGTCCGAGAAATTTTCATAGAAAATATAAGTTCTCCAACAGGAATCGAACCTGTATCCTATATGGAACCATCATATAGCCTGACGTGATTTTACTGATTGAGACACAGAGAAACATTTTGGTTAGCAAGGTTGATTTTACTGTTTTTAAACTAGAATTCTCCATGATTTTCTCTTGTACATTCATATCTGCTCAATGCGTATCCAAATGTAAACAAATGATGTCACGCATTATGAAATGGACAAAGTCCAACAATTATTTTAAGACATTTTTTATGTTTATACATTCTTTTTATAAAATGTCTTAAAATAATTGTCAGGCTTTGTCCATTTCATAATACATATAATGTAGATAAATTATCCAGTTTAGAGCCACTTCCCACACTTTCATAATGAATTTATTTCTTCTAAAACAGAAAAATTTTAAAAAGAATTAAAGATCATCAGTATTGATTTAATTTTTTTTTTTTTTTTTTTGCTAATTGTTCTTATATAAGATAGATTAATTAGTCAAATTTTAAGCATAACCATGACATCAAAGCACAGTGATGCAACCTACCATTAATTACCCTTACATACTGTTATCTTGTCTTGGGACTTTTGGCTCATCAGTATAATAGCTCATGAGGTGCATATTTTATAAGAGCCCTTATTGTTGAATGAACAATTCTATTTCTTGTTTTGCAAATATTTTATGCAAACAACTGTGGCTTCTACAGTGTTACTAGATGAATATTTTATGAAAACATATTGATATACTTTTCTTTTTAATGAGGTTAACTTGTTACAAGGCCCAGAGACTATGCAAGTGGAGGTCATTTGTGTTTATAGGAATGGAAGATAATGGTTAACTCTAGCCTTGAACAGGTTAAGATTTGTAGTGATTGGGGAAACATCCTGTTGTGACACACACACACAACCCCCCCTTCCTCACTATTAAGTATTGTAATAATAATAAATTTGAAATCATTCCTATCTCTCACTTCCCTCTCTAATTTCGACCATGTCTGTCACACTCTCTCTCCCCACTCTCTATATCACTTTACATCAACTTAAAATTACCCCTCAAAAGTGTATAAAAACTATATATAAATTTAAATTCAGTTTTTCACCTTTGAAGTGTGGTCTGATTTATTAAAAAAAAGAAATTCCCTGGGGAAATAAATTATAACCAATGGACCCTTAAAGTTGTCTGTTTTATTGAATTAATCACTCTGATTTAACAATGAGCTATCTGGATTTCATCCTCGTCGGGATTATCCATACGGGCTACCAAGATTTTCACTTTATACTTATATATATATATATATATATATATAATAAAAAGGCTTAAACACTAATATTCCATGGTCATAATTTATTCCATTGGAATCGTAAATACAATCCAATTCATCAGACCTACAAATTCAAAAAGAAAACAGAAAAAACAACTCCGGAAATAAAAACAAAATTTAGAGAGAGTGTAAGTATGAGGGGTAACACACTAGAGAAGGAGGGAGATTAAACCTTAACAGATGTATGTATATTTACCACTAATATTATCTATATATATATAAAAGAATTATATTGATAAAATGAAACTGAGAAATATCCTTACTCTTTACACACACAAACATTTTTCAGGTGATCTGTAGCAGAGTGGAAAAAATTTTTGTACCATGTTTCCTCCTTTAGGACTTCATCAGGTTAAATCTTGGTGTGGCTACACATGCATACTGAGAATTTTAAATTAAATTTTTTTTTTTAATCATTTCACCCCAAACAAGATAATAAAGCCACTAGGATACAAAGTGGTTACTGAATGTGTGAAAAACTATTATTAAGGAGAGAGGATAATAAAAAAAAAGAATTAAGATGACAGAAAATAACGATTTACACTGCATTTAAATTTTTGAAGATCAAAGTTGACTGAAAAGTAAGAAGCCAGAAGAGATTTCCACAAGTGAGAGAAGAAACTGTTACATCTCACCATTGCAGCTGTAAAGTGGTGAGACCTAACTGACTGCACTTAAATTCATAAAGTCAGGGTACCATAGAGTAAAGCTCATCAGAAGTATTACCATGAAAATATTTATAGGAAAGTTACAGAGAAGCTATGTTATGATGGTGGGAGAGGGAGTGAAGCTGAATATATATATATATATATATATATATAATATATATATATATATATGTGTGTCTATCATTTAGTTTTTTTTTTTTTTTGTGAATGTTTCTATCACTTTTGTTATCAAATATCTCACATTGTCATAGTAGAAGAGATTTGAATAAAGGTGAAATGTTGTAAAGACCTGGACATAAATTTACTCTAGATGATGTAGAGATTAAAGCATTTTCTATACATTTTCATCTTATTAAATTGCTTTCTCTTTTAATGAGAGTAATATTTTTTTTAAATGAAAATTTTGGTCAGACTCATTACAGTGAGCAACTAATGCATTGAGCATGTTATTTTGTAAAATATCCCTTTTCTGTTCATATGATCTTTTATTTAAATCCTTTGGAGTTTCTCTGACATATTCTTTGTGGCAATTATTACACTTATAGAATAAATTTCACTTTCAGGTTTTAAATTATTACTTTGTTTTGTATCAATTCTTATTTTTTTAGAAGTAGTTTTAATAAATTTTATGTCAAGCTTAGATAAATTCTTTTCAGTTGTAGTTGTGATAGTATTGGTGGGTAGAACAAAATATCTTAATTCATTGGGGTTGTGAGAAAGGTCCACACTTCTATTTTCGAATATTTTATGACCCTTTTGTTTCATATATATATATTCTCACATTCATCCCCCAATCTCATACATACACTCTCACTAAATTTTATTTTTTATTCCCAGAATTATTTTTTACGATTTCTTTTTGAATTTGTAGGTCTGATGAATTGGATCATAATTACAATTCCAATGTAATAAATTATAACCATGGAATATTAGTGTTTAAGCCTTTTTATTATATTCTTACTCTGTCCTGGACATTGAGTTCTACCTGGATTCTATCCTCTTGGAAATTTTTATATGTATGTGTATGTATGTATGTATGTATATATATTTATATGCGTGTGTGTGTATATTAACCACTAATATTATATATATATATATATATATACATATGGAGGAAAAATATATGACAGTGGAAAAAGATTTTGTGTGATGTTTCGGCCTTTAAGACTTCATCAGACTAGCTTTGTTTACATTGATGTAACTACACATGTGCATGAATGAGAGATGGTAATTTTAAATTTAGAAAAAATAATTTTTTTTTTATATGTATTTTAGGTATAAAAAAACTTTTGTGCACATGTGTAGTCATGTCAAAGTAAACAAATTAGTCAAATGAAGTCCTAAAGGGCAAAACATGTCACATGAAAATTTTTCCCACTTTGTCATACGTCTTTCCTCCAAAATTGTTCTTGATATATAAAAATTTATATATTGTTATTCCATATATAGAGAAGACACCAGAAGTGTTGAAACAAAATGGCCATTTTTGTAGTGATGTTATAACATGTTTTTATGTTATAATTTTTTAATAATTTATATATATATATATATATATATACACACATACTCATATACTCATACTTATATTGTTATATACTTATTACTCTTTGCAGTTACCGCATCCATGCCAATTTTGAGCCTGAGGAGGATCCTCCTCCGCAATTACCACCTCGAGCTTACCGGAACATGCCAGACACTTCTGGAAACTTAAACTGGATGTATGAGAGTCTGGCACAATGTTCATATGCAAAATGAAATTTGCAAGACATCAACGTCGTTTGAATATTTACAAACCTCTAGCATATATTAGCGAGACACATATCACAGATAGTAACGAGATGTCTCGTGATAGAGACAGCGTTGATAGAAATATTTATGCTGTAGAAAAAGAGAATGCAAAAGTAGAAGAAATAAAAGAGAAGCCAAAAATAACTAATGAGAATATTATAAAAGATGAGACCGAGCAAACTTTAAAGAGCCCAGATGTTATTGGTAGATTTAGTGAGGATGTTAAAGCTAATTTGAATATCATAGATGCTGATAAGAGTAAATTCACAAATATTGGTGAGTTAAGTGCAAAGTGTCAGCAGGCGGATAAAATTAATATCACAAATATTAATAAACATGTTTCAGTCATCAATGAACATTCTTCAAATGATGGAGATTCTCTAAATATTAATAAACCACTTCCCAATGATATTCTCAGTTCAGCTGTTAACCCAAATATTGATGAACTCACTCAATCTAAAGTCATGCCTATTGACAATAACACTAATACTGCTAATACAAATCAAGACTATAAACATTCTACAACATGTATAGATGATAGTTATAAATCAGGAATCTCTATCAAAGAATATGATATTGATATTAGTAATGTCTCTCACAGGACACAGGACGGTGTTTACCAAAATGAACATAATTTAAATAATCCATTTGAACCAAATATCTTTATCACAGAGCAAGAACCACAATTTGTAAGTGATGATTCTAAAATTAACAAAACAAACCAAATATGTTTAAATGAAAGTTATAATATTACAAGTAATTTGATGAAAATTGATGAGAATTCCAAAAAGTGTGTTTTGCATACAAATAAGAATTCTGAAAATGTTAAAGATCAAAAGCATTCACTAAGAAAGGAAATTGTACAAGCCACATCACTCACTGACTTATCAAAGGGACGGCCTTCACAATCAGTACCCAACCAGAATGTGACATCCCCATCTCAATCTGAGTTGTGTAAGTGTACAATCATATCTAATTACTTCTCTCCTCATTCTTCTTCTTTTACAGCTACTTGTAGCCTTTTCTATTTTGTTTGTTGATAACAATGCCAGTTAAGGCCTGGCCATAAAGGGTTGCTGAACTATAAAAAAAGAATCAGTCTTCACTTTCCAGTCTTGATAGAGTCCAAAAGCGCCCCCCCCACAATCCTTGTCTGTGACAAATTATTATCCACCCTACAACCCTTTTCTCACAAATGAAATGTCGCAAGCCTTTCACTGCTCTTTCACTATCGCTACATTCCTTAATTTCACCAGTTCTAACCTTCAACTAAAATCCACTATGCCATGACTATTGTAGTGAATCACCCTCATTCCCTTAGTATTCCATTGGTGAGAAGCTTTCCACAAAACACTGCTCTGTGGAACCAATTCCCAAGAGAATATTTTCTCAATCACTACAACTTTAATCTGTTCAAGTCTATAGTTAACCATTATCTTCCCCACATAAACTGTGACTCTTACTATATAGCTGTTGTAGAGTAGTTTCACAGTGGACGCTTGTATTTCACTAAGTCGGTCCTAAAACAGGTTCGACGTACAAAATGTTAGGAACTTGATATAATAGGTAATGACGCAGAGATCTAGTTGTAGTGGCTGGTACTTTTAGTATCCGACTAACGGTCGTCCGACATCAACTGACTGACCAACTCACTCAGCGACTGCTACTACTCCTTATTATAGGTGGGAGAGTCTATTAACAATAGAATAGGTTCCAGTATAACAATAGCCCTCTGCAAATCCTTAAATATTTGACTTTAAGGTTTGTGTCATTCAGAAGAACATCACTGGGAAAAAAAAAAAAAAATCATTCAATTGAGTATGTTTGGCTTCATCTTGTATCATATAATACTAATGATACATAACTGTACAACTTGATTTGCTTCAGATTTTCTTAACTGTTTGCTCAATAACTCAAAACCAAAAAATGTATTTAGTCTTTTAAGAAAATTAAGGACTTTCAAAATATAAACTTTTCTAATTCAATTTTTAGGTTGCTAAACTTTTTGTGAATTTTCAATGCTTTATTGAATTCAAAATTACATTTAGCTTTCTGTTCATATTTAAATTCTAAAAATGCCAAAATTAGTGACAAATCTAAAGTTCATTAAATCAACTTTTAACAGTTTTTTTTTTTTTTTTTTTACACTTCCTACCTGTGGAACTCTCTTCTGATTTCTTGCTTCTTTGACACCTATAATCTTCAAAAATTTAAAGGCAACATCAATCATCATTTCTTCTGTCTTCTTCGACCCTGTTCCTTCTTTGTCCTTTCCCCCCTACTCCTCACTAAAGTCTTTTCATTCTCTGTAATCTCCAGTATCCTAGTGAGATTATTGCCTTGGCATGAAATGATTAAAGAAATAATTAAAATACTGAAAAATATTGGATGTCAGTATTCTTGCTATAAAATTTAGATATTTAAGTGTATATTTGCTGTGTTTCTTATCAATAATTTTTTTTATTATTTCTGAGTCTATTTAAAAGTAGTTAATTGATATCTATTAGTATAATTTTATAGAAATACTCGGAATTTTTACTTTTTAATTTTCAAACACATTTTTTCCCCTACTTCTAAGAAATATACTATTTCTGAAGATTTCTTACTTCTAGATCTCTTTTTTACATCTATCTCTGACTCATGTCATACTATGCAGCTCTGCCCTCTTGGCAATTCTGATCATGCAGTAGTGTCTGTAAACATTGCTTTTCACTACCCCACCAGCCAAGAACCTCCTACCAACAGAATATCTGAAGTTTCCTCTTGGGTGAAAGCCGGCATCGATGCTTTCATTCGAGCAAGGAAATACCATGTTAAACTGTGTTCATCTCCTTGGTTCTCATCTGCATGCTTGGCCACTATAGCCCACCGGAATCACTTCTTTCTGCTGTACCAGAGCAACACATCTAATTGCAACAGACGTCTCTGCTCATAATAAGTGCAAGTGTGTCCTCAGAGAAGCAAAGTTTGCTGATAGAATGAAACAATACATAACATTTCACAAGTTTGGTTCTAGAGATTATTAGCAGCTCTACAAAAGTGCACTGAACAAAATCAAATCCTCAATCCCTCCCCTATTCAATCAATTCAAAGTCCTGACATCTACAGTAGATAAGGTTGAATATTTTGCTCAGAAATTCTCTTCCAATTCAACACTCTACTAATTTGGAACCCACACCTGATTTCCCCACTAGATCAGAGACTCTACTGAGTGATATGTGCATAACCCTGTCACCGGTCTCAGACATAATTTCTAAATTAGACTCCCATAAGGGAAATGGAGGTGACAGGATCCCAGCCCTCGTCCTAAAGAAATGTGGTCCCAAGCTGGCTCTAGTTCTCTCCAAACTCTATGAATATTGCCTCATTGCTGCTTCCTGTTTCCCAGCTTTTGGGAAATCCTCCTCTATAGTTCCTGCTTTTAAAAACTCTGGAGAACCTTCTGACTTCTCTATCACCCTATTAGTCTGTTACCATTTTTCGGCAAAGTATTTGAGGCTTTAAACAATGTAGAAGTGGTTAAGCATCTTACCTCTCACAAACTACTCTCTGACAAACAATATAATTCCCATTTTTCCAGGACTACTGCTGATGTGATAACAGCCATCACTGAATATGTATATCAAGATCTTGATAAAAACAATGAAGTTCAAGCTGTGGCTCTAGATATCTCAAAGGCATTTGACAGGGTTTGGTCTTCTACATAAGCTATAGGGTACATTATTACAGGATGATTATTTGATTTAATTCAATCATTCCTATCAAATCATGAAATAAAGGTCATTTTGAATGGGCTTGCTTCCAGATCCTTTCACATGAATGCAGGTGTTCCCCAAGGCTCTATCCTGCTCCTACACTGTTTCTGATCTTCATAAATGATCTTCCTGATGTCATCAGTTCCCAAGTAGGCATTTATGCAGATGACACTATTATTTACTCATGCCTCAATAGTAAATCCATCAAAGCTGACACATCTAAACAGGCCATTGCTTGTGAAAAGGATCTCTAATCAGCTTGTAAATTTTAATGCCTCCAAAATGAAACTGCTCTCATTTAACCGCCATAGAGAAACACACTGCATTTTCTTGGCCTCATGTTTTCAATTGACTTGTGGAATGGCTACATTGAATCAATAGTTGCATCTACTGTAAGAAAAGTTGGTTCAGTATGTTGTGCCAGAAGGTTTTTTTCTTCAGAATCCATCTTACACATCTGCAAATCTACCATTTGTCTGTGCATTGAATGCTGTTGCCATATCTGATCTGTTGCTCCTGTTATTCATCTCAAGGTTCTTGACAAAATCCAAAGGATCTGCAATGTAATTGATCCTGACTTGGCATCTCAACTTCATCTCACTTTCTCACTGATGTGATGTGGTTTCCCTCTGTCTTTTCTACAAATATTTTCATAGCAACTGCTCTGACCAGCTTTTTTCTCTGATGCCTCAACTATATGAATTTAACCACACTACTAGATTGGCATCTAGGTCCAATCCTTTCACTATTGAAATAGTTAAATGTAACCACCAATTCTACTACAACAGTTTATTTTCTTGCACTTCCTGCTTGTGGAACTCCCTTCCATTTACTTGCTTCCCTGATAACTACAATCTTCAAAAATTTAAATGCAACATCAGTCACCATCTTCTATCTTCTTGAATCCTGTTCAGCTTTTATCCTTTACTTAATTCCCCCTATATCCAGTTTTTCTCTTGCCTTCACTCTGTAACTCTCTGTGAACAAGTGGCATTCCAGCCTTGATTAGAGTAAAATGATTAAAAATATGTTTTTTTTTTCTAGACTATTTTTTTAATCAGTTCACCCCAAGCAAAGCTACAATGTCACTAAGACACAATGGGTTAGTGGGAGTCAAAGATATTGAAAAGACTTTAGAAGGAATGAGAAACCCAATCTTAAATAGGGAAAAAGGGATAAACCTCTACTATTGTCCAAAAGACAGGGGAGGAGTGTAAACTGGACAATAGGTGAATATATCCATTCCTATTGTGGAGAAGAAAAATAAATAAATAATTAGTAAATGAAATTTCAGAGTTCAGGCAGAGACAGGAGTACAGAGTTGAAGTAAACTTTAGAAGGAACTGGAAACCCAATCCTAAGCAGGGAACAAGGGATAAACCTCTACTCCTGTTCAAAAGACCAAGGAGGAGTGTGAACTGGATGATAAGTGAAACAATCTACTATTTGTCTTTTTGTTGTTTTGATTGATATATTCTTCTGACTTCTTCAAATGTGATGTCAGTCTTTATTATTTTATTCATTTTTCTTTTCTTTCATTGTTTCATTTTTTAAGTATATACTTACATCCATTTCAAACTTTTGTCAGTTACCTAAAATTATTTTGTAGAACACCAAAATAATATGCTAATGAGCTAAAACATTATGGCGAGTAACATGTAGCAAGAATGACAGCTACAGAACCATAACATTTACAAGTAACTGGGTTAGCAATATATGATTACTCATGTACTTAATTTTAGCACACTGGATTCTATCATTTATGTTAAAGGCAATTTCATATATACCATCTACCTCAACAGCATTGAAGATCAGGTACACTTCTTTATGGCTTCTTTCAGTAAAGTTATTCATACTGAACAACTTATACAGGAATGAGAAAAAGACTTTGTGTTTCTCTGGTGACCAAATTCATCCGATATCAATTCCATTATCACTTATGGAAGGTTTTGGGCCAGAAAATTAATACTGCAAAACTGTCAACATTGTCAAAGTTGTTAGCAGGTCCAAGAGGTCTTGTAGAGTTCATGTCTGTTGGGTTTTACAAGCATATAATGATCCAACAACTATTTAGGCAGATGGTCAATCAGTTTAGATTTATTAATACTGCAAAACTGTCAACATTGTCAAAGTTGTTAGCAGGTCCAAGAGGTCTTGTAGAGTTCATGTCTGTTGGGTTTTACAAGCATATAATGATCCAACAACTATTTAGGCAGATGGTCAATCAGTTTAGATTTATTTCTAAGATAATTGTTAGTAGATCTTATCAATCTCACTTAATTTGTAGCAGGTTTAGCTTAACAGAATTGCAAGCATCAATTATAGGATTATTAGATTCTGTTCTGCATAAATATTGTATTTTGTATTAATTTTCATTTCAGTTATACCTAGTCCAATACTTCAAACTAACAGCATACATAAGATGCCATCACCTGAATCATGGTAAGTACCACATTATAGTAAAATTTTTCATTTTTTTCTTTTTTTTTTGCTTTTAAAATAAATTTTACATACTTAATGCGTTAATTTGGAAAATAGATTTTGGCTTGACTGACTTTTTGGCATAAAGGAGGAATTAAATTTTCTGAGGGCAAAAGTGAAAGACTCTTTTTTCATCATTTCTCCACAAGCAAGGCGATAAAGCCACTAAGACACAAGGGTTTACTGAGAGTGAAAGAAAGAGAAAGAGCAATAAAAAAACAGGATTCAGAAAGACAAAAGATTTTTGAAGACCACAGTTTACAGAAAAGCAAGAAGCCTGAAGAAAGTTCTACAGTTGAGAAGTGAGAGAGAAGAGACTGTTAAAATAGAACTTATGGTTATATCTAGTGATTTCAAGTCTAAAAGGATGAGACCTAGCTGCCAATCTAGTACTACATTTAAATTCAGAAGGTCAAAGTACCAAAGTGAATGAAAAATGAAAATATAGTAAAGGCAAAGGAAGCTATGATATAGCAGTGGGGAAGTGACTGATGCCAAGATACCAAGTCAGGATTGATAATATTACAGACTCTTCAAGGATTTTGTGAAGAATCTCAAGATAAATACCAAGAACACCAGACTCTACTATATATCTCGAGATTCTTGACAAAATCCAAAAAATGGTCTATAATGTTGTATGTCCTTATAATGGTTGAAGTAACTAGTATGTGTGTTCTCAGGTTTAAAGACTTTGCTACTTAGGTGTAGCAGTAGTAATAGGTTTAAATTAAAATTATGAGAATAATTGGTAATGTCCCATAAAGATATACATTTATCATATATATACATATATGTGTTTAGCTGTAATTTCTGCATGTCTGCTACCACCTAACCCATTAGGAGTAAGGAAATTACCATTTGTTCTTTAGCTGCTGCTGCTGGACAAAAAGGCAACAGTAATTATATGCTTCCTACTATTGAGAAATTCTCTAAGAGTCCATGTGACCTTTTATCATTTGTTTCAGGTTATTATTGTTTCTGTTTGAAAAGTGTTTTTATGAAATGGGATTTCCTTTGTATTTTCTCAGTCCAGCAGAAGACCTTGATCTTGCATATCATACTGTTCTTCTCTCCTTACTGCTTGGATACTTATATAATCTCTGTGCTTTAGCTATGCTAATTGGGCAGTTATTTACATATCTTTACATTTTCAGTTTGTGATGTTTTAAATGTTTACTACCAAACCATTGGCTAAAATGCTTTTAAGATTTGAAGTTATATATATAAAACCCTGGCTAAATTGATCACAAATACATAAAAAGCAAAGCTATTTTCTTTGTATTTTTTCAGTCCAGCAATAGTCATTAATTGCATATATCAAATCCTGCCCCTCTTCTTATCCTGGGTATGAAAATAAACTACATCCAGCAGCAAGGCCTCAGATTGGGAAGTTTTGATGAGCGTGGAACCATCTCTTAATTGCTGTTGTTTCCAGGTCCATCCTGACCCAGAGTGGTAGCACCTGTTTGGGTCCCAGCTATGAGGAAATAGTGGCGCTACCCCCACAAACTGGGGCCAAAACATTATGAAAGTATAAAAATACATTTTTGTAGTTTTCTAGTAAGAATACCAGCAATATATTTTCATTTAAAAAAAAAAAAAAAAAAATTACCAGCAATACATTTCTGGGAAAAAATTACCAAATCTAAGAAAATTAAATTTTAGTATTAAATGACTTATAAGGAGTTAATATGCTGTTAAACAAACTAAATCTGCCTCTCCCTTTACTGCTTGGGCACATATATTCTTTGTTCCTTAGATATGCTAATTAGGCAGTCATTTACATATCACTACAATTTTCTTTGTTTATGTATTTCTTTGAAATGTATTTTGTTTATACATTTTCCCTTTTTAGAGATGTATCTGTGTGTGTGTGTGTGTGTCTCAGTGAGGGGAATCAAATTGGTACTTACCATTTCAAGCCAAACACGCTGCCAAATTCCTGATTAGTTAGAAATTGTGGCTGCATTTGCTTCCTTTATTATAGAAGAGCGCACATTGCTGGTGAACCAGAAGTCATTCATGATTGGACAATAAATTTCCAGGAAGAGTCACATGGTGTGTAGTTTAGAAGATGGAAAAATGGTAGCTGACAGAACGTACACAAGTTGATACCTAATCAGTATCAGCTGGGTCACCATGGTGATGTGTGTATGATGTTGAAAGACCCGAAATCCTTAATGAACCTTGGCTAGAAACGTTACTGATGATGTGTACTAAAGCATCCAATAGATGTATTTTATGAAATGTTTCTTGTTTTCACTGTGTATTTCTTGAATAAAAGGATAACATCAGTATGAAACATGGATCTTTTTCATTGAGACTGGTGGTTATTTACAATCCTGACCTGGCATCTTGGTTTCAATCCCTTTCCCAATGCCTTAACATAGCTCCCCTGGTCTTTTCTATAAATAGTTTCATTGCAATTGTTTTAATGAGCTGTCCTCTTTGATGTCTCAACCTCATGAATTTAAGCATAGTATTTATACACAAAATCTTAGCTATATTTTTTAAATAATTTTTCAACCATTTTATAAATTATCACACTCAAGATGCAATTTTGTCTGCAAAATATATGTTAAAAACATAACAAATTCTTGATAGAAACAATATAAAAGTGTTATTTTATATTTATTGAAAGTATATCTTCAGTTATTTATTATGGAGTGGAGAGAAATATTTTAAATCTTATGAAACCATCTTTGTCATTAAGTATAAATTGTATTTCTCTTTGTATAAAATACTAGTTAATAACTCCTGAAACATATATACCAGTTGTAATGATAAGACTGACAGTTTTCTTATACAGTGTAACCCGGATATAAGAGAAACCTGGATATAAGATAGATTTTCTCTGGTCCCAAATTAGAGCCTGTGTTAATGTATATAAAATAGATCAAACCCGGATATAAGAGAAACCCGGATATAAGAGACTTCTTCTTTGGTCCCGACAACTCTCTTATATCTGGGTTACACTGTAAAGAAATATTCAACAGTGATTGAACAACAGTTAGTGTTGCTGTCAATTGAAATTTATAAAAAATTTTTCTTAAAACTGATTTTTAGGAAAATAGGCTTGTTATTTTTTATTACAAACTTTGTCAATTCTGTATTTTTGGGCAGTTCTGTCATTTACATTTAATCACAGTTTGTTTATTTACAAGAATAATGTTTTATATTTTTGTGGCCAATTCTTGAGAAAAAAAGACAATGTATAAATACATTTTCATGTTTGGTTTTTATAAACTTTTAAAAATGACTTTTTATTATTTACCATATTATGAAGAAATAACTATGAAAATGAAGTTTTTTTATTCATAAATTAAAAACTCTGAGAACAAGAAAATTTAAATAAACACATAACTTTGAGTAACTGCAATTATAATTTTTGAAAAAAATGTCTTTTCTGGGCATTTTTTTTTTATTTGCTCTTGCCACATAAATTCACTAAAATAGTTCATAAGCATCTAGATTTATACTTTTTTTTTCTCAAAAATTGACAACAATATTATTATTATTTTCTTTGATTTCTGGTGTTTACTCATTTCTTTCCGGGTCCCGCCCAGGGACCTAAGGTTAGAAATGGCATGACACTTTCCACTGACAAAAAAAAAAAAAAAAAAATTACATAGATAAAGTCCTTCATAAAGTGTGGGCTGTACTTGTCAGAACAATTTTTTGTATCTCCTTGAGGTATGGACTTCCAGGAATCCCTTCAATTAGTCTACTGCAATCTTTTCCAACCAATCCTAGGGCTCCAACTACAATAGGGATTGTTGATGTTCCCATATGCCACATTTTTGAGATTTCTATTTCAAGGTCCTTGTATTTTGACAGCTTTTTGAATATCTTCAAAGATACATTGCAGTCAGCAGGGACTGCCATATCAATAAGGAGGCACTTTTTTTGTTTGTGGTCTTTAATAACAATATCTGGGCAGTTGGCTTTGATTGTTCTGTCAATGTGTATTGTATAGTCTCATAGAATTGTAACAGGTATTATTATTATTATTATATTTACAAGGATAGAGTTTAATGCTTTTGTTGTCAACTGTCAAGAAAAAAAAAAGTATCCTTAAATCTAGTTTCATATGTTTAGATTTTATTAAAATTTTAAAACAGCTTTTTAAAACAATAAAAATTACCAAGGAATTATGCAATAGTAGTGACTAGAGATAAACCATCCTTTTGGCACACCATTTTGTGTGGGTATATATGTTGAACTTTTGCCAAATAAGCTATAAAATCTTACATATTCTTCTATGTTATTTTAACATTATGAAATGTTATCAAATCAAAAAAATTATTTCTTTATAGATGGATGCAAATGTATTACTTAAAAATAAATTCATTTTCAAAATAATAAAAAGTTGTCCAAATCAAGATGAATTTTTTGTAAGCTAGTTGAGTATTCCTTGAGTACAAAGTTAATTGTATTGTATCCTATTAAATTCCACTAAAATTTGCCTTGCCCATTTAAAAACATCAGTCCAACTATATGTCAGCTTAATTATTTACTATTATATTTATCTCTTTTTAGTTCTCAGAAAATGCAGTTTCATTATCGCTCTTCATCTGAACAATGTCTAACATCAATTGGAAGTGCTGACCAAATGAAAATTCCATTATATGTATCATTGGTTAATATACCTACTGAAGAAGGTAAGAAAAATATTTGTATAGATACAATATTTTTTGTTATCAATTTTATAATGAATAAAGTCTGCTCCAAAGAAAGGAATAGAGTTGATGAATTAAGTTATTTCAACTTAAAAGAAAGATCTTCTTAAGCAGTTAGTAGTGATGGAGTGCTAGGCAAGAAAAAGAATATTTTTTATTGCATTTCCTCCACTGATATTATTATATCCATGATGGCCAAAACAAATAGCTGAAAGAAAAATAATGACAAACATGCATTGTTCTCAAAGAGATTTTTATACTGCTAAGTCATGTACAAAATTATATACAAATACTTACATGTGTATAGAGAAATTATAACAGATGTACGCAACAACAAGCAGTGCGAAAAGTTAGGATTTTAGGGAATTCATCATTGCTATTGTTAGAAAATATACAAATATACTAGGAAATAGATAGTTATGGTAAACTTTTGATTTAATTAAATGAAATAGAAAATACAAATACTAATGGTAATTTTCACTTTTTTATTGTAATATATAAAAACTGTAGACATCATAACAACATGAGCCTGGTCTGGATTAGATGAGGGACCACTTAGGAACACTGGATACTGTAAGCAACCTCCTACAATCTGAAATTGGTTTCAGCTTTACATAACCCACAAAGGGTTGATAAACTGTAAAAAAAGCAATCAATCAGTCATATCAATAAGTATTAAGTGTTTTGTTGTATCCGAAATTTCAACCTCATCACACCTTTACACTAGTGTGGTAGAAAAATATGAAAAATATAAATGCTTCTTGAATTAATGATTCTAATTTATTGACTAATAATTGTTATTGTATAGTTTATGATTGAAAAGTCAAAATTTTATTATTGAGAGAATCTTGATAAGTCTCACTCACTCTAGTTTTAAAAGAGAAAATAATATTGATTAAGTTAAAATCAATTAGTTTTAAAAGAGAAAAAATATTAAGTTAAATGAAGAAGAACAGTAAAGTTTGATACCTATTGATAGCTTTGTAAAACAATTAGAAAATATAAAAATTAAGTGTTAGGATTCTATAAGTTACACTTTTTTAATATTTATTGTTTTTATTTTAATTATTTGGAAAACTTTACAAACAACTTTTTATCAGGATGGGTTGAGATCAAAGGTACTAATGAACTTTAAAGTTTCGAATCTTTATGCTTATAACTGCTTATTGCAAAGGAATGATTTCACTTGTTAAAATTTTAAAAAATATTTATACTGAAATATGAAAATTATTATTTAAGTAATGGTTTAATGTGTAAGCATCATCATCTTGATTTTTATGCTCACAATGTTTCGACTATTATACCCTTCAGCCTTCTTCAGATGTGTTTTGTTTTACTTGGTAACCTTCTTGAAATTTTGAGCCAAAATTCAATCCACAGGTATTCATTCTACTTTCCATATCTAAGTGATATTTCATATAAGTTAACACCAGTTTTATTCATCTTTCTGTGACTGGTTTACTTCTACTGTATGAATTATCAACCTTCCAAGAATGAGAAAAATGAGTTTGTTAATTCATATGTCCTGGAAAGGGATATATTTGTTCGAAGTAGCAAAGTGGTTTTGGGATACTGTAACCAGGTAGGACAATCTAGCAGGTAGCTGTAATGGACTGGTACTTGTCATAGGCATAGACCATAAGCGTAGACAATGTACCTCCACATCAGTCTGTATTTATGGCTGACACCAGCCAATCATATTACTGTGAGGGGGAACCCAGGTGTATGCATATTCATTACATCATTAATCTAAATAGCAAAGCATATAATAATGATAATCCCTCCTATCAAAAATTCTAACAAAGACTGATGGCTACATTAAAACTTGTTCATTTGATTATTTACAATATTTACATGCAGACTGTTATCATCATCTTTGTTGTTACTACCATATCATATTGATTATTGTGCTCTTTGGTTTTCATCAGGTGTTTATTGATCCAGGTAACCTTCAGGAAATTTTGAGCTGAACCCTTTATTTAATCTGCACAGGTAGATTGTTCTTGTTCCACTGTCCATGTCTAGGGATATCTTAGTCTTGTTCTTATTTAGTATTGCTCAGTTATTGCTCACCCTGTTTCCACTGGGTCTAAGTCTACACTATCCTGCCTAGGGGTTGAGTTCATTATTACTATGTTATCATTATTTATATTCAGACTAACGTCCTCATCATCACAATGTTTTGCCCATTGTGCTCTCCAACCTTCTTCAGGTATCTTTCAATCCAGGTAATCTTCAGGGAATTTTGAACTGAACCCTTTATTTAATCTGCACAGATAGATTGTTCTTGTTCCATTGTCCATGTCTAGAGATATCTAGTCTTGTTCTTATTTAGTACTGCTCAGTTATTGCTTGCCCTGTTTCCACTGGGTCTAAGTTTTCACTATCCAGCCTGGGTATTGAACTCACAATTGCTGTCACTAAATTCCCAAACCAGCATTTTAATCAAGATGGCTATTGTACTCTATTGTTAATTTGGTTTTCAAATACTACTGTATGAAAAGCCTTTATTCTACTTAGTTACAAATATGTAGTTAAAAGTATTGCCTATATCTTTGAGGAGGCTCATTCAGATATCCAATATTATTTAGAGGCTCTGATCTCTTCTTTTTATATTTGCTGCTGTTATTACAATATTTTATATTTGCTGCTGTTATTACAATATTGATCAATTCTTCAACCTTCTTTAGGTGTAATCTTTGAGATAAACTGTGGACAACAACAGAAATTATTCATTAATATATCCACTGAACTGATCTATTTTTACAGTGACAGGTACACCAAGCATCCAAGTAATTTCACAGTACACTCATTGGAGGATCTTCTATACCCACTTTGCTAAGCAAAGAGGTCTATATAATGTTGAATTCCATGCTAGCCCAATGTAAACACAATTTTGGTAGGTCAATATATACTGTCTCTTTAAGCTTCCCCACTTCCCAAAAATACTTATCTTGATCTCATTCCAAAGAGGATAACCCTTATCTTTTCAGACTATACCAGATTTTTTCAGTTCACTTGTTTTTTTTCTTGAGAGCTTAATTTTAAAATGATGGCCAGGTTCCTCTTTATATACCTTACTACATATGCATAGTATGTTGTGAATGCAGTTTTTTTATCAGACTCTTTTCATCTTGTAAGAGATCAAGTCTAGTATGAAGATTTCAAAGGAGATTTTAATATCAAATACTATCTTGATATTGTAATATTGACAAATTGTTTGGGTTTGCTCTGTGGTTCCTCTTACATAAAAAAATGGAATGTTTGCTGTAACAGTTATATTGGATAGTCTCCTGTTCTTATCCTAGAAACACTCAAGAGGTTATTAATTTTCCTTTAATTCTTCTTACAGTTTTCATTATTAACAATTGTGCTTGGTGCTGAAGGCAACAAGCCAACTACTTTATTTCCTTAATAACAAAATTCTTGTACAGTTTGAGGTTTAAATTTAGAAACTGTGGCAGACATGAGACAGAACCTGGGACGAGCACAACTGGTTGCGACTTGCCTTGTCCCTGCCAAAAAAGAGCCCGTATTTGCTTAGCATGTAAAGCTACTGCAGTTGAAATGAGGGAGAAAAAAGCACTTACCACTCTGCCGTAATCTGTCCTCGCCCAGATAACGTAAAAGAATGAGGGGGGACTTGCATTGCATTTTTATGCAATAAAGATGCAATGCATTATGGGACAGGGACGCAATGAATTATGGGATCGCATGAAGACGCAAGGGATTATGGGTATATGGACAAATATAAAAGCAACTACTTTTTCCCAGTGGGGAGAGTTCTTTGAGTGACGTTCACGGTTGGCGGCTAGAAAAGTCTGCTAGTGCGATTTTGAGACAGAACTCAAGAAGGAATGACTCAAGGTTGGAATATTAGTTGGGAGAGCTTGAATTTACTTGCTGGTTGCTGTTTTCTTTTTATTCGCTACAGAAACTTATTACTGTGATTGGAGTTTCCTTCATAAACTTTTGTTTGAAGTAGTGTGTAATGCTAACATCTTGATTATATCATTATTTTCTCTTCAATTTACATGTACTATCCATTTTAGTTGTTGCTGTTGTTGAACTTCCTCAAGTGATATAGTTTCTGTTATTTGGTAAAGTTCTTTGTTTGTGACTCTGTAGCACCAGCCCAGAAGGTTTAAAGAAGATTGGTCCTCTCTAAGACCTACAGGATTCATTTTCTCAAAGCTATTTGTAACTATTGAAATCATAAAACAAAATTCTAATTAATATTAATGAAAAATATCCAAATTGAGAAATATTTGTTCACAATCTCTGTATATCAATTTTTTTTTTTTATTCTGACAGGTCTCCCCTTAGCAGTAGACAAGCAGCGTAATCTAGTGTCTGTGAAGCAGCGGATCCACTTTTTTGAATATGATAGTAATGGACAACTGGTGGGAAATCGAATTCCTCCACCAGTTCCTGCAAAACCAACTTCTTTAGTATTAAGAAAAAAGGTTCCCAAGGTAATGATATTTTGACATAGATGTATTTTCCTGATAATGTGTCTATGATGATGAATTTTGGTATTGTGTATAGATAAAGATGTGTTCAAAATGTTGAGTAAAATTTATCAATATTTTCCCTAGTATTAAAAACTAGCTTAAAAGCTGCATTCAAGTTAGCTACTGTTGAAGGCTATTGATTGGGCTTTCATCACAATAGGTAGGGAGGAGTAGATATGATAGGCAACAATAAACTATGGATGAACTCAAAATTGATCACTGCTTTTAAGTATTGCATTAATATTTAAACTTACCTTTTAAAGGTTCAATGATAATTCTTCTGCAAGACAATTTGATGTATGTAGGTCCTTACTTTTCATACAAACAATTATTTTTATTTTATGGATGATTTTTAATGGATTTCACAATTAATTTCGATTATCTCCAGATTTATTTCCAAAAATTATTATACAAAATATTTGTCACAAAAAATCACATAAAAAATTTGTCAGAAACAATTATAGTAATGAAAATTTGGGAATCCAAAATTTCATGATTGTGGGTCCAGATCCAGCTCAGAATGTTTTTAATTTGCTCACAGAGTTGGCCTGATTCCAAAGCAGTATGATATGGCCTCTGGAGTAAACTTGAAAAAGTGTGACACAATAACACACTGACATTTGCATTTATTCTATAGATGAATAGGATTCTTTTTTACCAAAGCTATTATTACTAGCAAAATAGGGTATTGAGCCAGAAGAATTATTGATCTTTACATTGTGTCTTAAACATTATTTTTAGTGGATACCCATATTTGAGTAGATGCTCTGGTTTTTATTAAATTGTATATTTATTTATTTTTGTCTACCAGCCTAAATATTCAAGAAATCTTATTAAAGAAAAACATGTGTTCAAGCCAGTAGATGAAAAAAAATTACATTAGGATATAAAAATGAACAAAAGTGGAGTCTTGTATTTCAATAAGTCATCCTAAATTAGGTTCGACGTACAAAATGTTTGAATACAGCAAACAAGGTGCTTTTATTTAGATTTTTATACAATTTCTCATGCAATCTAATAATTTTTTTACTTTTTGTATGATAAATTATATAAAACTGTCCAAATGTTCTTTTTATTTGAGAGTTTTTGGTTATACATATATTCAATATTTGTGTATTTATATATATATATATATATATATATATATATATATATATATATATATATATTCTATTTTAGTATAACCCCAATTTTAAAAGCTTTTTAATAGCTATTATAACCTTACTTCGTTGTCAAGTTCTTTGAATTCTCGTATATTTGTGTTTTAATTGTTTATGTAACAGCGTTTTCCTCTGGCGAAGGATAGTTAATTAATTTGAAACCTTTAAAACCATTTATTCTACATTCAACATCATCACTTGATAAGACCCTGGAGGTGTTGAAACAAAATGGCTATTTTTGTAGTGATTTTATAACATATTTCTGTTATAATTTTTTAAATAAATATATATATATATATATATATATATATATATATATATATATATATATATATATATATATATATAAATAATTTCTTTCTATTCTGTAAAATACAGGAAGAAGGATTTTCGCCTACTCAGCCAAGTCCAGAGATAGATCCATCAGCAGGGAAACCCTTCAATTTGTTAACAGAGAAACCATCTGAAGCCTCAAAGGATATAACAGAAACTGCTGATGAAAAATTAGAAGTAAGGTGCAACAGGACAGAGCATTTTCAGTGCAACATCAAAGAAAATGTGGATACTGCTGCTGATAAAATTTCTTTGTGAGTATGAAAAGTATAAAAATATCTATATATTAGTATAATAGTAGATGAGTGAAAAATAATATGGAAAAGTTTATTAGTGATGCATTTAATTTCCAGAGTAAAGTTTTAGTATTTTATTTTTGAATATATAAAGGATTCTGAGAATACCATGGGCTGAACATGTGAATAGTAAGAAAGTTTTAAGAAAAATAGAAACAAAAAGGATGCTTATACTTAGAATCAGAAAGAGACAATTGAAATTTCTAGGTTATATAATGAGGAAAGAGGATTTGGAGAATTTGACCCTCACAGGACATATTGAAGGCAACAGGGACAGAGGAAAGCAGCAAGTAACCTACCTAATGAGAGGGAGGGATATCAGAAAGAAAAACCTTACTAAGATCTAGAAATGATAGGAAGTTGTAGAGAACCATGATAGTGCACCTTCTGAAGGTTCATGGCAATATAGAAGAAGATGTACATTTGTTAGTCTTAATTTTTATAATTTTGATTTGTCTCTCTATTCTAAGATTCTATATGTACTAAAATTTTACTAAAACTGATGACTATAGAAAAATTGTTTAAAATCCACCCTTAAACTGTGGATCAACAAAAGCCAAATTTTATAATCTCTATATATAATTGTGAAGTGTTTGTTTGTCTGTTTGCTATATATGGCCATACCATTTCATGTTGCAACATCAAATTTGAAAAAATATTTATTGGATCTACAGGAAAGGATTTTAGAATATGTTTTTCCTCATGTAGAAAATGGGCTTTAATTTTTTTTTTTTTTGAAAAAGTAATTTCACAGAACAATTTTCACAAAAAATATATTTTCTCCTTGGGATAATTTTGTATGTGTGTCTAGTAATTGTTCTAGAGAAAATTTTCAGATTGTTCATATTATACATGCACAATCTCCAAATTGTTCACCATATTCAGCAGATTTGGATCATCATTTATTATGGGTTTTAGTGAATTCTCTTAAAGAAAAAATCTTAATTGTACAATGAGATTACTACAGACAACTCTAACAATTTAATTAAAAAGATCTGGGAGGATGAAATTATAAATTTACCTACAATGAAACAAAATAATAAATTTGTTCTTTGAATAACGTTAATACCAAAAATTTTAAAAATATTTCTTTAAATATCTTTTATTACTACTTGATAAAGACAATACAAAACTTTGCTTTTTTTCTACATTTCATTTTTCTAGTCTTAATCATATGAAAGAAAACTGCTAGGATGAAATCTTCATAAATTATTGCCTTATAATTTATACTTGGAATTCTACTTGACTCAAAAGTATAAATTTACATTAATAAATTGTATGTTCATATTACCTGAAATCTTGGAAAAATATGCAAGTTTTACATTTTAAAAAATTCCTAATTTGCATCTCTTTTCAGACTACTACCCGAGGCTGAAGAAGTTAGGAATAATTTGGAATATTTTCAACAATCAGCAACATTGCAAGATGAACATATTGACAAAGAAGTCCTTATTAGAAAAAAGGTAAGCAGGTTAAAATATGTTGTTTAGAATTTCAGAATTATGGGTTAATTTTAAAAATTATATGAGAATTTTCATTAGTACTTCAAATTTACTATATGTAATTTATGCATGAATGATCATGTTGAGGTAATTTTGGTTATGATCATGAATAAAATTAAAGAAAACTTCATCAACCAAATATTTTATAACTTCTTTAATTAAAATATTTACAATTAAAGATTTTTCAAGAGATACAAAATTTTACTGTTGCCATTAAATTAGACATATTTTATTGAAGTGAGAAAAAGAATGAAAGAGAAAAGAAAGAAAAGGTATAGTTACCATGAATGTCAAATCAAAGAATTAAAAGAGCTGACAGGTTTTCAGCCCTCTCTCTTCAGAGCTTGATCGCAGAAATAAAAACAAATATACACAATGACTAAAAAGGGAGAAATACTCTGAATGAGGAAAGTGTATATTAATAATATGCCACTATATGTATATACATCATAGACAGATAACATTAAGGTTGATTTGTTTAATGGCACATCAACTCCTTATGGGTCATCTATTGCTGATTAATTTTCTTGGGAGATTTGGTAATTTTTTTTAATCAAAAATTTATTGTTGGTAAATTTTTTATCAATGTATTTTTATACTTTCATAATGTTTTGACCCCAGTTTGGTGGGGGCGGGGGGGTCACTATTTTCCCATATCTGGGACCCTAATGTGGTATCACCATGGGTCAGAGTTGACCTAGGAACAACAGCAATTAAGATATGGTTCTGCACAACCTTCCAATCAGAGGCCTTTCTGCTGGATGTAGTTTATCATCAGACCCAGGATGTGATCATGTTAAGATCTTACAGCCACTAATCTTTTGTTTCCTAAGAGAAAGCTGTATAACAACAATCTAAACACAATGGTGGTTCACTGTAATACATATGACCACAGTTTTGACTTAAAAAGAATGCCAGTCTGAACAGAAGAGAACAGGATTCACTGAAAAGGAAATGCATTGAGAGTGGACTTATCTTGCAGTACTTAACAGTAAATTTAAAACCAGAACTGTATGTTATATTATGGATTATGGCAAAGACAATAATAGTACAATGCAGTATGAGCTTGTGAGAAAAAAAAATGTATTGGAATTGGTTGATTTAA